GTGTGATCACTATTTTTTTACTGAACCATTATCGCTTATGAGTCAGTAGAGACTGAGCAAGATAGTTATCTGTAGTTTACCTTCGTACTCGCAAGTACCGACCCAGTGCAGGACTGTGCTGTGAAGGTGGAGACATGCAGCGGTGGTGTATTTGTGATAATAAAAAAACATTTAAAAAAGAAGAAATTTGAAGGAGCAGCAGCTAGAATTTAGGACCGGCGGGCCGCCACTCTTATGTTTTACTGTCATATAAAGTCCTGCACCTGTATGGAAACTGCACAGTGATGTGAGGGGAACTCAGATATGTCTTTTGTGCAGTATAACACAGTCGCAATGCCATAAATTGTAAGAATAGAAAATAATGAAAGATGAGGGATTTTGATAAATAGCATGGTTTTCAGTTTGGCTGTGTTTCACGATAGCATGATGAGCAGTGAAAGGACTGGTTGTATATGTGATCATTCTTTTTGTTTTTAGTTCACTATAACCACTGCAATCACCTTTCATGTTATCTTGGGGTTCAGAGGGTTAAACAGTGTCTCAAACCTCAGTGTTTTTTTAGGTGGATTGCACAGAGGTGATTTCACTCAGCCATCCGAGTATGGGACACATAGGCTGAGGAGAGGACGAGACCAGCTGGTGGCAGTGTTTGACTGTCTGCATCCTTTCTGTGGAAAGGCGTATGTTTGGTTGGCAGAGATGGCAAAAGTACTCACATTCTTTACTTAACTGAAGTAGAAATACTGTGTAAAAACAGACTCTGGTAAAAGTAGAAGTGCTGATTCAGCTCCTTTACTCAAAAGTAAAAAAGTACAGGTTCAGAAATTTACTGAAGTACAAAATAAAAAATAAAAATGAACTTTTAGCTTCGATGATACTCGATGCCTCTTTGATAACTCTGCAAAATGAGAAAAGCTTTAAGCACACAAACTAGGATTGTTTTCATCCTTTAAGAAGCTGCACAGTGCTGCTACAGAGTTTTCCATTTCAGCAACATGATGAACAATAAACATTATCATCGACATGGAAACACTCGTCTCTTCAAGACTCCCAACATGTGTTATTGAGCCTCAGCAGAAGCTGGTTCTCAAAGGTCTCTGGATGAAGACGGGCCCTTTTGGGTCTGAACATCAGTCCTGCACTGCTAAACAGCCTCTGGCAGGCAGCTGAGGCAGGCAGGGCTGTGTTGAGCTTCAGGGACAAACTGCACACTGCTGGGAAAGATAAAGACGTTTGTTGTTACGTCTTTTACGTCATGTCGTCATCCACGGAGGCTGAAACAAGTCACGAGCCAGTTTAGAGAATGTGAGGAGCAGAAAGTCCAGATATTTGTGTTCAAATGTAGGGAGTCCAAGTAGAAAGTCGTCAGAAACATTAATACTCAAGTAAAGTTCAGATACCTGCAACTCTACTGAAGTACAGTAACAGAGTATTTATACTTGGTTACTTCCCACCTGGATAACTGTTTTTGATCGCTGTAGTGGTTTGTGGGTAACTGTTTGAATTCAGGCAAAGCCGTGTTTTCTTTGGCTTGTCGTCCTTTTGCTAGAAAAGTAGCTTCAGTTGTGTCTTTAATTTAAACCGTTAATAAATCGTGTGCTTTGCTCTGGGCTCTGCCTCCTCGTCTCCTTCAACACGCAACGCTTTTATTATGGCTTCCTCTCTTTCCTTGGATTGTCAGAAACATTACGTTGATCAAGAAAAGTCAAGAGAATATTAATTATTATGAATTCAGCTGCTGGTTGTCATTATTTAGTATTTGATGAAGTTTTGATATTATTACTTTTAGACTAAATGAAAAATTGATGGATTTTAATAATCAGCTTTTTATAAGAATAATCCACGTCAGTATGAGATCCAGTGGCACACGGTTTAGGCTCCTGTTCGTCTTCTAATCAAGGATTCTCTGGCAGTTTCTTGGCTTCTATTGTTTTATCATTTTGTTAAGCTAAACAGCAGTGGACATTTTGCAAGAGTGTTGTTTTATGCATGGAGTGTGTGTGTGCTCATAGATCCAGATGTTCTTCACATGTTTACATGGGTCCAGTGTGCTGTATCAGTCAGATTCAGAGTTCACAGTCCTGACAGCATGAGGAAGGAAGCTCTTCCTGAGTCTCTCTGAGTTTGCCTTGATGTTCCTCAGGCCCCGGCCAGAGTGTAGCCACTCAAACAGTCCATTGCTGGGGAAGTGGGGTCCTCCATGATCCTGTTTCCCCTGACCATGCTCCTCCTGGTGTAGAAATCCTCGAGACTAGGGAGCGCTGTGGCCATGGTGCAGGGCAGTGCTGTTCCCGTACCACTGAGTGATGTTTCGAGTCAGAGCGCTGTCCACCACTCTATGGTAAAATGTCTGCAGGACCTTCAGAGAGAATTTCCTCAGCTGTCTGAGGTGTCTGTCCAGCTGACCTACTAGTGTTGTGAACCCTGGAGCTGGTAGGTTGGTGCAGGACTTCAGCACTTCCTGGAAGTCCATCTGGACCGGCTGCTTCTCCTCAGTGTCCTCCTCACGTTGCATTCTTTAACAATGAGTGCATGTCTTGCTCTGGCCGTCAATGACCTGCAGTGAAGCTGTTTGTAGTCCTCCTTAGATGCTGTGTAGCAGTGGTCTAGTATGCTGCTCCCCCTAGTGAAACATGCAACATGTTGCTGAAAATTGGGCGCCACCTTTCAGAGGTTTAAAATAAAAATTAGGAAACAAACTCCACCACCGTTGGACTCCATCCAATTGTTTCAGAACACAGAAAAAACACTTGGCACCAGAAGACGGAGCCATGTCTTGGTCAGGTAGGCGGTGTTGCAGTTCCTTATGTCCTTCTGGTTCTGACCCCTGAGGTCATCCAACTTGTTTTCCAGGGACTGGATGTTAGCAAGAAGGATACCAGGCAGGACTGACCGATGGGCCTGAGTTCTAAGCCATTTCCAGACACCATCTCTGTATCGTCTGTGTTTTTTGCTTCTCTGTTTCCGTGATGTGTCTCCATCTCCGTTGTCATTGCTTTCCTCAGCTTTGTGAAGGATCTCAGCTGGCCATATCTGATCTTCATGAAAACAAAGTGGGAAAATTAATTTTGAACAAACCTTTTTATGTCTCAAAGTGTGCTACAGACATGTGGTAGTCTTCCTGAAAAATTGAAGTTGGAGAATTGAAAACAATACCAAAAAAGAAAAGGTGGACATGCAGCCTTCACAGAGCAGTCATGCCGACGTTTGAGCGTGGCTGGGCCAGCGAGCGGCGCCGCCACAGCTCCACCGACCCGCCTCTGTGTGGGCATCGGCTGCTGAAGCTGCTGCTGCATAGCCACTGGACAACTGTCTGCTGTTAAACGTGACATCTGAAATGCGTTTAGATGTGGTTTAAAACTGAACATTCAATAGACATCTTGGTCACATATCGACTGCCTTTCAAATAATAGTTTTTCTTTTTACTTTCAGTAAATGTATGACAACTGCCTTAACACAGAGTGACGGTTTCATGCAGTATGCGTGCACCTAGCATGGAATACTTTGTCAGTTTTGCACCCTAATTGTAGACTGTTACAGTCTGCAGTGCAAAAAAAGTGTTCCTCCGTCTGCGTGCTCTCGTGGCTCAAGCTTGTTTCTACGTAGGCAGAACACTGTGACATATGTGATGCTACTACACAGAGGACTGTGTGTCAGAATGGCCAGAAGAACATGCTGGCTTACACACTGCAATATCTGAACACATGTGCTTGGGCATCCTGGTCATTTTGGCATACTGCATTTGACATACTATGTATTAGGACATGCCAGATCTTTATCTGGCATACTACACAGCATGGTAGCATGGATATTCCACCCCTAGCTTTTGTTTCAATGCCTTTTCAATGGCTACAAATTCAAATTTATATATTTAACACACATTAAAAAAAAAAAAAAAAATTTATAAGTGGGGGGCAAAAAGACAAACAACAGACCCAAGCAGGAACCAATGACCCTGACAAGGTGAGCACAGAACCTTTCCAGCTCCTCTGTTCACACTGTACCCATCAGTTGACCTGCACAGTGTGAACAGAGGAGTCCGAGGTTGTGGCTGCACAGGAAGACCAGTTGAATTGTGTACTGTAAGTTAACACACATTACTGAATGACTGCAGACTTTCCTCGTGGACTTGCCAATGGTTCATTGCAAATTTAGTGATGTATGAACATGATGGTCCTGCCCCCTACAAACTGTGCTGTTTATCTCTCATTGACAGCATCTGGCTGCTCACCGTGGCATTTGTATTTGTATATTCAATGGAATGTAGGATTTACTAACCTTTGGTAGTTTGATAAAGTGCATCAGCACCGTGATGTCAATAACAGGGAATGATCACAAAACAGAGCAGATCATCAAACTGTTAATGAGTTCAAAGACCCATTTGTTTCTTGTGCAATGGTGGATCCCATTTGTTTTTTATTTATCTTTCTATAAAAATGTTCTTTCTATATCACTGTTGATCACAAAATGTCCCTCAAATTCTTAATTCTGAAGAACACAGCTCAGTGTCGATGTGGAAGAGGGTTATGGTTAGACGACAGACAACAGATGTCGTTTCCAATAATCAGTTCCTACTGAAATGTGTCCGTTCTGACATTTTTCAGTAGGAGCTTGTGCAGATCACGTCACATGCACAGTTAGAGCAGTTTCCCTGTAGGGATTGTTTTTCTTCTGATTGTGATTTATGAGCTAACACTGAGGTGCTTCCCTTCTGTGACCTCCTGTGACCTGTAGCTCATAGTCCTTCAAGGCTTTTCACCCTGATTTCCTCTGCTTTCAAGATTTGTCTTCGCACTAGTGTGACATGGGGGTGGATGGGACTGGATAATTACTGGAGAGCTCTACGAGTGTTTTAGACACCATCAGCGCCCTGTCACAGTGTCTGACGGAGGCCAAGTTATGGGAAAAGTCACTCTATACACCTCTGAGCTCAGATTGTTGTTTATTGACTGAATATGTCACCATGTTAATGCTCCAAACATTGCTGTGTTTCCATGCAGATCTGGAACATCAAACAGATGATTAAGCTGACACAAGAACATTTAGAGGCTCTTCTGGACAAGTTTGGGGGAGAACACAATCCTCCCTCCATATATCTAGAGGTAAGAGAGATTTGCTAGTAGTGAGTATCGCTTTGCAGAAACTAAATCTGGTGACTTTCACTGGAGGCGGGAAAGCTGTGGAGTCAGTGTGTTCTTGTGTGTCGTTCCTGACAGGCCTATGAGGAGTACACCAGTAAACTAGACGCCCTGCAGCAGAGGGAGCAGCAGCTGCTGGAGGCCATGGGCAACGGTGCAGACTTCTCCTGTTCTCCTTCTCCTGTGCCAGCTCTTCTGGAGGTCAAGATGGGAGGTTGTGGGATCGGAGGGGGCCCCCAGACCTTTCCCTCTGCCCCTAACACGTTGGCGGTCCTGCAGACACCCACCGACGCCAGCCGAGCCAACCCTCGCTCCCCTCAGAAGCCCATCGTCAGGGTCTTCCTGCCTAACAAACAGAGAACCGTGGTAGGTTAGACGTCGTCTCAGAGGGAGCATATGTAGAGAGAAGGATTTTAGGGCCTCATTTGGAGTAGAAATGACCCAAAGGCTCATACAACACATACGAGAAGAGTGCAGTCTAGCTGGTACTGGCTGTCCGAGGCCAACGTGTTCAGGACATCCCTGTTTTAAACAGCTCCAGTTCTACTTGCTACTATTGCACACAGTTCTTCAAGGTACTTGGCAGGAACATAGTTCAGCATCTTGGAGAACTTAATGCAGTTTTTCTGTGGATTTATTCTATCTCAGTGTCTTCTGTCTCTTAAGTGATCTCAAGCCGACTCCATGATGTTGAGATCAAAGCACTGAGGGGGTCAGACCATGTGTAGCAGGACTCCTCATTCTAGTGGATGAAGATAGTTCTGTGACAGTGTGACTCTGGCTAGATGTTTGGTCTGCTCTGCTACCCAATTCATTTGGGATGGTCAGACACCTCCCAAACGATGGATGAAGAATTTAAACATCTAAAATTCCTAAAAACTAAGCACAATACTGCAATGTGACATTCATGTTTGTAATAACACTGTATCAGCCGATTCATCAGTGTGGCTGTAGAGAACACATCTGACAGCTAGCAGCTTCTGTTGCTCTTCTTCTTGGTAATGGACGGTTATGAGTAACAGAGGGCAGATACGTAAGTCTGACATGCTGAAGGCCTCTTTATACGGCATGGACTGTCCAACTATGGTGGTAGCGTGACCTATGGAGGCATAGAGTGGTCACATTCCAGAGAAACATGGCAGGTTAGAAAATGCTCTAATTTTCCTTTGAAGCCACACAGTGTTGCTGAGACATGCTGACGACTGCCTACAGAGTTCATGTTGAACACAGTCCTGATGTGATGGTAAATGATCAGTCCATATCAAAACAAAATCCATCCATCATCTCTACACCTTAACCCTCACCA